ATTTCCTCCTTCCTACTTCCTACTATCCTTATCCTTACTCCTTACTAATATAAATTAGAAAGTGAGTTTGTTTGTTTGTTTGTTCCGCTTTCACGCCGTAACTACTAAACCGATTGCTTTGAATTTTTTCAGACGTAAAGTTAGAAGTCCGGATAATAGGGTACTTTTTTATCCCGGAAAAATTTGATATTCCCGAGAGAAAACAAACCTATTGGTATAAATGGCGTTGTGTGTGTTGGTATATGTCACATAGGCTACTTTTTATCCTTTTGTGACGCGAGCGAAACTGCTGAAGGGATCGGGATGAAATTTGGAATAGGGGTAGATTATGGTTCGGAATAACACATAGGATACTTTTCATCCCGCGGGGAACTTTTTTTTTAAGGGGGGAAAATCATCGAATGACTGCTCCCGCCTGGGTGAGGCGGGAGGGAGTGTCAGACTCTTACTAAAAACCACCCCGTTCCTTCTCCTGCACGTCGAGCCGGAACCCCGGTAACCCGTTAGGTTCTCCGTGACATTTCACAGGGGACTTGCGCGTAGCCAGAACCTGGCAGACGCTATAATTGTTTTTAAATGTTGCTTCACACTGTGTCGTGGGTGCGTTTACAAACATACACGTTAACATACACATAAAACCCAGATCCGAAACAGTAATTCGTGGATCACACAAAGAGTTGCTCCGTGCTCAGCCGGCCATATTTGTACATGATTTCGGTAAAATATTACGTAAATTTCAGATTGATAACAGCTATACTACACATAAAATAACGTTGCGCCTTTTTGTCATAGGCAGAATGCAAATGTAACATTCACTTTTCACTAGTTAGGAGTTCCATGTAATAGGGGGTGAGTGTATTGGGATAAAACCCAGTTACAATTACAGATGGATACTTTTTATTTTTATCCCTGAAGGGGTAGTCAGAGGTGCAAATTACGGTACTTAATGCCACTGTACAATAGACCACCCAATTTTCAACATTTATGTTAGAGTCCCATGTAATAGGGGCTGAGCCTGTTGCCATATACCGGGCACAATTCCAGACTCCGTGCTACCACTGAGGATTTTTATTTAAAAACCCGGTAGTACTTTGCCCAACCCGGGAATCGAACCCCCCTTGCCCGGCAATGCACTTGCGGCTGTCATCATCCCAATTACAGATTAGGCTAGCAATTCATTTTTACCGACTTCAAAAAATGGAGGAGGTACTATGTTCGGCTGATTGTTTTTTTTTAAACGGTTTTATTTAGCTCACCCCGTTTGTTTTTATTTATCCTTGGTTTTTATATAATACAATGACATAAGCGGAAAGCATTGATAACTTCGGAATAAAACTTTTTAGTCTTCACATTTTGTGCACACCGACATCTTTTTACAGTTATGTTTGTTTTTGAGGGCTGCAAATCATCCAATTATTTCTCCTGCTTTGGGTGAGGCGAAAGGGAGTGTCAGACTCTTATTGACTAAAAACTCTCCTTGACTTCGAGCCGGAGCCCCGGTAACCAGTTAAGTCCTCCGCGGCTCCGTATCGGCATTAGCCCTATTGGGCCCCATCTGTGGTGATCTAATGGCTCTTTGAGGTACGTAGGCTCGGGTCTCATTCTAGGTTTGCAAATTAAAACCTCAAAAACCAACCAATTATATTATGTACACACCACATTCTTTCTCAAAATTTAAATCACCATAGTACAATACGCAAGGGTGAACGGCAGGGGTGTTAAGTTTTCAGTCACAGCCATATGATATCATACCGTCATTTGACTAAAACAATACCTACAGACGCAGGTATAAATATTGTAGTTTCAGAGACAAGCAAAGTGAATCTGTAAACAAAAGCTTTCAGGGTTTAACAGAGCTTTTTAATGCCTGAAAATTAAAATTTCTCAGAGCTTTGTGAAGCTGAGAAGGTGCTTTTAAGCTGCTTATTCTAGAGTCTATAGTCTAGAGGATTAAGTTGTAGTGTGAAAATATTTTTCAGCTGTTTCTAACTGAAACTAGATTCTGTACTGAAAAGGATCTGTGTAGATTATTTTATTCTAATTGTTCTTTTGAGTTGTGATGCTGAAATACTATTTTGTTATGGAGATAGGAGCCTAGATTACAAAGGTACAAATAGACTACGACGACACTATACACTTCAAAGTCAAAGTCAAAATCATTTATTTTAATTAGACCAGGAAGGCACTTTTGAACGTCAACAAAAAAAATATGAAGCTATTTGCTCATTCCAAGGTGTAGATTCCTATGGAGAAGAACGAGCAAGAAACTCCATTATCCTTTTTCAATCAGCTTTACAATACAATTCTTTAGTTACATAGTTTTGTTCGTTCAGTTGTATGAGAACAATATAACAACAAAATCCAGTCAAGGAGATCGAAAAAAAAACCTACAATAAAATCATATTATAGTCTGGAGCTGACCAGTCCCAGTTGAAAATCAAATGTGTTGGTATGAATGATCACATGTTTTTGCAATTGGATAATTTATTGTGACACGATAATTAGTGTGTGTCCAATCAGCCGCCGGCTTGTGATCAGTGTCTTTAGCCAAACGCTACTTTAGCGCTTGTCTGTTCATAGAGCCATCAGACCACCACAGATGGGGCCCAATAGGGCCGATGCCGATTCGGAGTCGCGGAGAACCTAACGGGTAACCGGGGCTCCGGCTCGACGTGCAGGAGAAGGAACGGGGTGGTTTTTAGTCAGTAAGAGTCTGACACTCACTTCCGAAAAAAAAGCGCTTGTCTGTCTACAGAGAGAGTAGAAAACTAAATGTATGGGGATGACACTGACAATAGGGTAGACGACTAATTTTTATTTTAATATCCGTCTGGTAGATTATTTAAAAACATTAGACACTTATTTTTTATTTTCTTACGGAAACGAATAGTTTCGAAGATATATTGATTTGAAATGTCGCGTGACGTCACTTCTCAGTACATTTTATACTGAGAAATGACGTTTTAGCCCCCACTCCTAAACTTTGATTCGTTTTATCTAAGTATTGTTTTATTATACGACAAAATAAAAAAATACGTGTCCTATATTTTTTAATTACCTAACTTACGGACTAATTAGATTTTTAATTTTCATACCCTGTCATCATCCCCATTGTCAAAAGTTATGTCAATACTATATAAATTAATTTGGTTTTTATATTTTACATGTAGACAAGCCCTAAATGGCATTTTACAAAAATGAATGTCTGACATTTGTGTCACAACTAGCTTCTGTCAGCGGTTTTGCCCGAGTTCCCGTGAGATAAAAAGTAGCCTATGTGTCTGTTTCCAGACACATAACACATTCCAGACCATCCACTCCTGTTCCAAATTTCATCTCGATTCCTTCAGCCTTTTTGACTTGAAGAAGAAGAAGAAGAAGTAACAAACAAACACGCAAGCTTTCGCATATACTAACTACATTATAGACTTTATTTCCGATGTTTAGAGACTTCTTTTGTATGAACAAATTCAGGGGATGATATTTCAACAGGTTGTATAACATTAGTCTAGTCAAGACGTTTTTTTTTAATAACGCGATGGAATTCCTCATGGTCTTCCCACGCCGTGGGGACGATCGACGGGGTGTGCCGGACTCTCACCGGCTAAAACCACCGCGGTGTTCCTCCTCTGCCTATGGCCGTGACCCGGGACGCCCTTGCGGATTCACCGCACTAGTAGTAGATGTATGTACCTTAAGACTATTGATGTGAATTGGGTATGTTCCTGGATCAAAAATAAATTAAGTATTTTGATTTTACAAATCCAATTAAATATTGAAAAATAATTACAAATTTATTCATATATTTGACGATATACTTAATTTTCGATTTATTCTAGCATTTTTTTCAGAAATAAGTGTGCTATTTGATTTGAAAATATGATGACGTCATAAGTTAGTTTTTGGTACAAAATTCATAGAAGAATATCGTTTTTGACGTTTCGATAAAAGTATTGAATTTGATTTGTTGTAAAATACCGTAACGTGACAAGTTTCCCTCGGGTGTTTGTAATAATGTTCAATTGACGAGCAGGGGAGTTGAAAAATGTAATGCGCGTTGTCCAAATGCAAGTGTATTAGCGATCCGACTACAAAATATCACACAAAAACACTGTTTTAAAAAATCGACCTGACGTATAGACCTATGTAGGTATAGCTAAATATAATAGAACTGTTTTGTGAGTACTTTCGACAATTCTTACATTAACACCCTCTATTTTATAGATTTTAAGTTTTATTTGGATTTTTTAAGGCCTTTTTTTTTTAAAGTTTTGGCCCTTTTTAATATTTCTGGGCCCACTTTTCACGCACACTTATAAAACTACGTACAGGTAATTAGGTAATTAAATAGGTAATCTTAAATTATTAGGTATGTGCAGTTACATTTCATCAACATCAATACGATTTTAGTAAGTAGTTAAACTACAAACATACCGACTTAGGAATACCTAGGACCTAAACTTTTCAAATTTATACGGATACATAAAATAAAACACAATGAAAGACTTATACTAAAACTGTTTATTTGTACAAACATTTCGAGTACATTTGTTAATATCACAGACAATTGGTTTTAACTTCACGCTATCATAAGGTGGCGTTTTCGCAAAAACTTATATTTTGTCTCAAGGGTACAATATTTTAAAACAGCGCCATCTCTTGGTAACAAAATGATTTACTTGTAGCTTGCGAAGTTACTTAGAAGTTTGTAGTTATGCCGGTAGAGTGCCTTAATCTTAAGATGTTGTTTATACAATCATTGCACCTTAAATTCATTGAAGTAGGAGACAGCAGACAGTATTGTATTCAACAATACTTACTTAATAATACTTAGCTCAAGAAAACGAACTAAAACCTTCATACTTAAAACTCCACCGACAAAATTGAACTCGTTACACGACAAAATATTTTTTTTCTTTTTTTGTTCATCTATCATTATTAATATTTAAATTTACGTGTATAAATTAATTATTATAATACTTCGATCTTATTACTTAGACCTATAACTCAGTTTTGATTTTACAAATTGAGTAGAATTCCTTTTCAGGCAGTAGGAACTCTTTAGTGAGTTCTTTAAAAGTGTCAAAGCTGCAATGACCAGAATTGCCACAGCCTTTGATCCTGAGGTACTGGGCAGAGCTCTCACCTGCTTTCGGAAGGTACATTGGCTGGAAAAAAAGAAAGAAAAAGCTCATACTCCAACGGTGTACGCTTAATACAAATAAAGTATGACATTCATTAAGTTACACATAAGTACCACTGGGTTTTAAAAAAATCTCAATAGTAGCACGGAGTCTGAAATTGTGCCCGGTATATGGCAATAAGCTCACCCCCTATTACGTGGGACTCATAACATAAATAGTGAAAAGTGAGTGTTACATTGTACAGTGGCATTAAGTGCTGTAATGCCTCTACCCTTCGGAGATAAAAACCGTGATGATGATGTTATGTATGACATTCATAATATAATTATCTCACCAATACGCTATAAGTTCCAGTACTCCTAGACCTGTACAACTCCAACGCGAATACAGCACCATATTCAGGAATGCTATGGTCATTCTCAACCTTGGCGACTTCCATCAAGGCTCCGATGTTGAAGTCGTGAGCAGAGAAAAGGCGTAACCTCTGGGATACCCGCTTTCCAGCTATAAAGTCGTTTCCAGCTTTGACAAATTTGTCTAGTAAGACACCTGGAGAAAGAAAAGAGACGATTAAGCAATGTTTTTACAATACACTCCAGCTATTAATTATTATGACTGCCGGGCAAGCGGTCAGGGTTTAAAAAAAAATGTCAGTAGCACGGAGTCTGGAATTGTGCTCGGTATATGGCAATAGGCTCATCCCGTATTACATGTTTTGGTTTTTTTGTTTTTTTTTTTAAAAAAAAACGTTGCCCCACACTAGGATTTTCTCCTGTGTCGTAGGTGCGTTTACAAACATACAATATCACATACACATGACACCCAGACCCGGAACAACAATCTGTGGATCACACAAAGAGTTGCTCCGTGCGGGAATCGAACCCGCGACACGTTGCGCGGCAGCCAGCTGCCCAGCCACCGCGCCAACCGTGCAGTCAAATGGGACTCATAACATAAATAGTGAAAAGTGGGTGTTACATTGTACAGTGGCAATGTGCACCTCTGCTTACCTAAAAGGCGTGATGTTATGTGTGTGTTTTTCGAAATTAAAAGAAATACAGCTGTAATAAGGAAGTATTATAGACATAATTATGCAACTCACCACCGCCAATCTTCTTCATCTCATCTGTCCTGAAGTACAGCCTGTAGGCAAGCCTGCCAGCTTCACCCAACCTGCCCAGGATAGGCTTCGCCCAGTCAGGGAGATGAAGACCTAGACCAATCTGCAAGAAGGTTTCGTATCAATTTTTGTAATTGAATTTGGCATCTATGTTGTTAGCAACACGGTTCATTGTTTGTGCAGCTGAGTAAATATGAGGATTCAATGATTTCTATACAAACCGTGCTGTATTTGTGCATTTAATATTTGTACATAAGGCCAAAAATTATTGCTTTGAAAATGTACTTGACATTTTGATTAAGTCACATTACACAGGACTGGTGGAGCTAAACGCTAGTGGCGCCGCCCACGTAACTCAAAAACTATGAGCGTATAAAATTATATTAGTGGATTAAGTAAAATCGCGGGTAACTCCCGTGAATATACTGAGAAAAGCTCTACTAGTTTCGAACCACAGAGGGGTTCTTCCTCATTACTGAGCTGCGCGACGTCGCCGCGACCGCGCACGCTGCTCATGAGGAATAATATCAGTATATTCACGTGAGTAACCCGCGATTTTACTTAATTTAGTATGTCTCACGATAGTCAGTCCTTGTGCTTTAATGTCCTTGTAAGTTCTGAGTTACTCTTTATATGGTCTTATCATCAACTTTTTAGTAAGTAGTTTATAAAAATTGTCGTGGTGGCCCGGAGGTTTAAGACGACCGCTTCTCACGCATGAGGGTACAGGTTCGAAACCTACCAACGGCAAGTACCAATGTGACTTTTCTGAGTTATAACTCAGAATATGTACATGTTATACTCATATGTACTTTCTAAGATTATCTAGACACCACTGACAAACGGTGAAGGAAAACATCGTGAGGAAACCCGGGCTTATAATTTCTAAATATAAGTTTGTAATCGCCAACCCGCATTGAGCAAGCGTGGTGGTTAATGCTCAAACCTTCGAGAAGAGGCTTTGCTCAGCAGTGGGCATTTATAGGCTGTTGATGATGATGATGAAAACAAATTAAAATTAATAGGTACTCACAGTACTCCTAAACAGATCGTAAAGGGTCTCAAACCAAAGAGGCCTGCCGGTAAAGTCCTCTCCAGTCTTGTTCTTGATGAGAGGGATGAGGTCCATAAAGGGGAGGAACTCGTCAGACATTGAGTTGGCCTGGGCCTCCGCCATTAGGGTCTTGAAGTGTTTGCAGTTTGAGTAGTAACGAAGCTGGAAGAAGAAAAGGTTAATCACTTTCATCGTCATATAAATGAGTTCCAGTTAGACCAGTTCGGAGCCGCGGAGGGCTTAATGGGTTGCCGGAGCTCCGGTTCGAAGTGCAGGAGTAAGAACGGGGTGGTTTTTAGTCAATAAAAGTTTGACACTCCCTCGAAAATGGATGATTTACCCCTCAAAAAAAAAAGATAGACCAGTAACCGTTGAAAGCAACTGCATACAAAGTTTAAAAGGTCGTCAGTTCACCTTGTGGGTTGACGATACAACCAAAATTATGCATAACTACAGAGATATGGATTTGCAAATATGTAAAACTAGCTACTTCCGTGCGGTTTCACACGCTCTGCTCAGCTCCTATTGGCTGTACCGTGAAATTTTATAGCTTATAGTTATCCTCGATAAATGTGCTATCCAACACAGAAAGAATTATTCAAATCAGACTTGTAATTACGGAGATTAGCGCGTTCAAACAAACAAAAAAACAAACTCTTCCGCTTTATACAATAGTATAAGATAAGATAATATTACATTTGTATTACAATTCGCTCTCTTGATATGACCTGCCTCTATGTCCATTTTTATTCCAATTTACTAAAAGATCCTTTCAAGAAAACACTAGGAAAGGTGACTAGAAGAATATGTAAGGAACAAAGAACAATCTAACAAATACCTAATATTCTAGGAACAATGTTAAATTAAATTCCACGTTAACTTTGTAAGTTAACTACGACCTTTGTGGCTCCAATAAATCTTTGTTAAACTAATTGGATCTAAGATTTTCTATTATAGTACCTAAACTAGAAGAAAATAGAACTTGTAACGTATATAAATAGATAAGATACCAACGCTTTTGTAAAATAAAAAGTGCTACAGATATTTCCTAAATGCGGTATGACCTAACGCAAGCGTTGTTTCAAGTTCGTCCTCTGTAAGGCCGTGGTATCACTCCGGTCGAGCCAGCCCATTCGTGCCGATGCATAGCTCTCCCAGTCTTGGGATGCACGTGTAATAGGGGGTTAGCCTATTGGCATATACTCACAATTTTTTAACCCAGCAATACTTTGCCCCACCCAAGAATCGCACTTGCGACCACTCGGCCAGCGAAACAGTGTTTAAAATATTTAATTTAAAAACATTCACCTCTACCTATACGTAGAATAATGAGCATAAATCTGTTTAATAAGAAAAAAGCCACAAAAATGATATACATAGGTACTTATTACTATTAATATATAACGTCATTTGTTTTATATAATAACAAAGATAAACTAATTGTATATCGCAGTTGTTATTATACAGTAGTTCAAGTTCATAATTACATAATAATTGCTAATAAATAATAATCGTAATTATTGTAGTGTTTAATTACGTATTGATATGAAGGTTTGATTTTTTATTTACATTTACTGATGTCGTGGTGGCCCGGAGATTTCAGACGTCCGCTTCTCATACACTATGGTATGAGTTCGAAACCTACCAACGGCAAGCACCAATGTGACTTTTTCCGAGTCATATGTATATTCTAAGATTATTTAAACACCACCAAACGGTGAAGGAAAACATCGTGAGGAAACCTGGGCTGATATTTCTAATTATAAGTTTGAAATCGCCAACCCGCATTGAGCAAGCGTGGTGATTAACGCTCAAACCTTCTTCATGTGAGAAGAGGCCTTTGGTCAGCAGTGGCTACTTATAGGTTGTTGATGTGTTGTGATAATAGTATTTACATCAACATCAACATCGTCTAGAATAGGAACTCTCACTGCTGAACAAATACCTTCAGACATATGTGTCATAATTCCCAACCTCTTTCACAGTTGTTTTAGACCCATTTCCTACTACTACTATGTCGGAAGAAGTCCAACGAGGGAATGGGCACCAACTACCAAAAAATTTAATTGACTACCAATTCCAATTTTAAGTTTGGCAAGCGTGAGAAACATGGTTAACTTACCCCCAAGGAAGATGCTTTCATTTAGCCGTGAACATCATCTGATGATGGTCGTTCTATTGATAATAATGATACTAAGGTTTTCGAAACGAGCAGACGCATCACCCGATGGTAAGCAATCGGCATCGTCCTTGGACAAACGTAGCATCAGAGGAGGCACAGGTGCGTTTCTGATCTTACGAGGACATGAGGGTATTGATATAATAAAAATACTCACATAATCTTCAGATAATGGAACAGCAGAATATGGCACAGGCTGCCACACCTTTCCAAGACCTTCATCCCACTGCTGCTCAGGTTCCGGAGGGTAAGCAGCAGCCATAGCCACCTGAATAGTCATCTTCGTCCGTTCCTTCTCAGTACTTCTGATGGCTATTTCATCGTGATGGTAGATGTTGGAGATCAGTTTGTAACCTTGGGAGCCGTACCTTTGGCGGTAGAATTTTCCTATTTGATAGGCTCTCCGTTTTCCGACCTGGAAGAAGATTTTATGGAAATTAGGTCATATAAGCAATCCTTTGAGGAAGATTTTCTGGAATCGTATTGTTTCATCACATAATATCACGCCTTTTATCCCCGAAGTAGTAGGCAGGGGTGCACATTACGGCACTTAATGCCACTGTACAATGTAACACCCACTTTTCATTGTTTATGTTATGAGTCCCATGTACCTGGGTGAAGCTTTTGCCATAAACCGAGCACAATTCCAGACTCCGTGCTACTACTGTGATTTCTTTACAAAACCCAATAATACTTTGCCCGATCCGAGAATCGAACCCGAGACCCCTTGCCCAGCAATCGCACTTGCGACCACTCGGCCAACGAGGCAGTCGTATTGTTTCAAATTAGTAATATTTTTACTCATAGTCTTTTTTCCCGAAGATCCTGTGCGCATGGGCCCAATACATTGCACTGACGACCATTCCTGATTCTATACTGATAATCTTATAAAGTTATTAAGGTTATGCATGTTAATTTGAAGCACAAAAGCTTGCTTCAATTGAACACTTCTCAGTTTCTCACTCAGTAGCATGTGTGTCGTAATGTTGCCCAAAATTAGCATGCTCATTCCGGGCATGTCAGCGAGCTGACAAGCGTTCGATTTTTTAAAACTTTTGAGCATGCTCTATAGAACGCCTTTTAGCAAGAAGTTTTGCTATTTTAAAAAATATGTTACTTCTTTTGTAATTTATTTGATTCCAAAATCCCTCACTCGTGAGCACCTTTGACAATTCGACTAATAATTTAGTCATTATCATCAAATTCTCTGTCATTATTTAATAATTTCATGAGACCACGACATCGCAGTAACATGAGATAAAAACATGATTTTTTCACAATAGTTACGTCAAACAATAGTATGTTTAGGTACAATGTATTGTATGAATACTTTTTATGTATGTACATACATATAAACATAACATATATGTCTTTAATAACGCACATTATGGTCTTTATCACATTTTGCGCGTCCATTTTATTGTTTTAGTAATGACTGATAAAAAAACAAGCATGATTAGAATGTGACAATCGCTGGTCACTAGTTATATTATGACTAAATAACATCACGCCTTTTATCCTCGAAGTGTTAGGCAGAGGTGCACGTTATACCATTGTACAATGTAACACCCACTGTTCACTATTTATGTTATGAGTCCCATGTAATAGGGGGTGAGCCTATTGCCATATACCGGGCACAGTTCCAGACTCCATGCTACTACTGAATTAAAAAAAAAAACTCAATAATAATTTGCCCGACCCGGGAATCGAACCCGAGACCTCTTACCCGGCAGTCGGAATTGCGAGCACTTGGCCAACGAGGCATTCTTATATTATGACTTTTATGTAATAATAAGCACCATCGACCGCTAAATTAAACGCCGCAAGTGGGAATAGATTAGGCATACTCTCCGAAGAGGTCCCTACCACATTCAAGCCTTGGAGTGGAAAGCCCCAGGCAGGGGAAAAGGAAGCATGCCCGCCCTCGGCAAACCTGGCGAAGTACTGTGGTGGCAGAAACGGTGAGTATCGGAATAACGTGAAGCCAGGTGAAGCGAGAAGTTCAATACTAACCGACACGGAAGACTTCTGTGGACGCCCTCAGTCTCCTCTGGGGGACACAGGACCTTAAGTAAAGTAAGTAGGTCTCTTGTCTTTGTACCGGGTATAATTCTAGACTCGAACGATTACTTGATTAATGAGATATCGAACTTACATAGAGTCCCTTGTTTCCAATATATATTTTACTCTGTGGTACCTTGCTTCTCAGAGCCACTTGTAACCACATAACATAATTGAAAAAATTGACTTAAAATTAAGGTTTTAAAAGTTGTGTAGAACTGTAGAAGTAACGACTTACATTAGTTAAACCCTCTGGTCCTTCAATGTATGTGAGATTGAGGATCAACTCCTGCTGGTCGGAGAGAGATAGCTCGTCAGCATCTGGTGACCGCTCACCATGCCTGTTTAGCTGCAAATAGAACAATAGGAAATGGTTATTATCTACACTAATATTATAAAACTGAGGAACGTGCCTTTGTTTGCGTGCGAACTGTGAAACAATGTCAAACATCACGCTGCCGCGATAAATAGCCGAGCAGCTAGTGAAACTGTGCGGGAGCTAGTTAAGATAGATAGAAATTCTTGGTCATCGGAGCAATCCAAACGGCATATAATAAGTGTGGGAGAGCCATGCTTAGACACAAACGGGCCGGCCGACCGGAGCGATACCACGGCCTCACAGAGACTTGCGTTGTGGTTCGTCGTGTGAGTGAGGTTACCGGAGGCCCATACCTCGTTTCCCGTTGAGATTTATTTTAAATTTTTGATAGATCTCAATCCTATACAGATATCTATTTGCATAGATATTTCATAATTAAAAATTTTATACCTGTACCTACACTATTATCACCGATATTTAGCAAGTACATTGTCACAGATAAGAAACTATGTGTAAATATAGACCATATTTACATGGTTCGCCATTTTTATGTTTACTCGTTAATTCTTTACAACGTATGCAAATAGGAGTCACTCGAATATAGTCTTTGAATTGGACAATACTTGTCTAAAACTGAAGATAGACAAATAGGAAGTTAAGCAACGCTTGTCGAGGATTTTCTCATAGAACTGACATCTTGAGTTACCTTCAAGTCTTGGAGATCAGATAAAATAAGGAAAATACTTATTTGGATAAACAATAGCGAAACAATGAGATGTACCGGGTTTGAGTTTAATGGTTGTAAATATAATATAACGACACAGAAGTAGATTTCACAACATAACATCACGCCTTTCATCCTCGAAGGGGTAGGCAGAGGTGCACATTATTATTATACCACTGTACCTCTACAATGTGACACCCACTTTTCACTATTTATGTTATTTATTTATTTTATTTATTAACACTTCTGTATAACAAACATACGATGGCGGACTTAATGCCGGGTGGCATTCTCTAACAGTCAACCATGGGGTGATGCAGAGATGTGCAACAGTAGGTGTAATAGGTGTAATGGTTTATGTGACACAGAAAAATCTATATAAATAAATTCATGTAAATATATCCGTATAATATATAGGTATAATATAAATTACATAAGATACATTATCAATATTACTAGATAACAATACTATAAAAGTAAATAAATAAATTGGGAATAAAACTACATATAATATATATTTATATATTAAATACAATCGCCAAAATGATAAATTAAGTACGTGATGCGTCTGTCTGTTCCCTCTGCAATAGCTCACGAACCTTAACTTTAAAACTAAGCCGGCTGGTTGCCGTCCTGACATCCGTGGTCAGCGCATTCCACAGCAGAATGGATTGGACAAAGAATGAAGAGTGAAGGAAGTCGGTACGTTATGTTATGAGTCCCATGTAATAGGGGGTGAGCCTATTGCCATATACCGGGCACAGTTCCAGACTCCGTGCTACTATTGAGATTTTTTTAAAACCCAGTAATACTTTGCCCGACCCGGGAATCGAACCCGAGACCCCTTGCCCGGCAGTCGCAATTGCGATCACTCGGCCAAGTAGATTTCAGTTGAGTAATATAGTTCGGTGCTGGTAAGTGATAATCAAAATCTATAGTAGGTACTAGGACTACTCGTAGTTCAGCACACAAAGGCTATTGACTGCTGAACTGCATAAATTCCTGCGGTAGCTTCTAAGCTAAGGCCCTCAATCAAGTGCACTTGCAATAATATTCCTAGTGCGCTTCCATTCGTGTCGAAGCATTACTCTGCCACGGGAAATTCACGTGTTGTATTATTAGTCCGATTTAGTGATTTAAACCCAGCTCTCCCCACGCAATACTTGAAACGGTTGAAATCCTCTCTCTCTTTATCCATCTTCTTGTCAATCCTTACTAATATTACAAATCGGAAAGTGAGTTTGTTTGTTTGTTCCGCTTTCACGCCGTAACTACTAAACCGATTGCTTTGAATTATTGCAGACGTAAAGTTAGAAGTCCGGATTAAATAATAGGGTACTTTTTATCCCTTGATATTCCCGATTAAAAACAAAAGTGTTGGTATAGATGGCGTTGTGTGTATTGGTATATGTCACATATGCTACTTTTTATCCTTTTGTGACGCGAGTGAAGCCGCGGGTAAAAGCTAGTTATGAATATTGACAATGGGGCAGATATTCTCAAAACAATTAAAACGAGTGTTTTTAAATGTATTGGATTGGAGATTGGATCCTTCTATGCAGCTAATCATCTTTCATAAATTATCTCAAAGGGTCATAGTGTATGTAGCTGGTGATGGATTTGTTATTGTTCTTGTAAGAATAATCTTTTGCTAAAAAGATTATTATAATAATTATAATAACACAGACGTTTTTCACTAATAAGGTTATTATTTGAACTTTTTGATTAGTCGTACCGGCATTATCTTTTGTTTGTTTGTCCCGCCGGAATGATATTAAACTGGTATGTACTGGAATTGATGTGACGTCATTGACTGATTCATTCAAGTCTTTGAAACCTTTAGTGACCTTTAAGGTTTGTTTCAGAATGCCTGTTTCTGAAAGAATAACCACTCTCCAGAGAATATTCAATGGTTCTCGACACACGCTTGCAATGTGATATGAGATTTATAAATTACTAGATTTTACCCGCGGCTTCGCTCGCGTCACAAAAGGATAAAAAGTAGCCTATGTGACATATACCAATACACACAGCGCCATCTATACCAACACTTTTGTTTTCAATAGGGAATATCAATTTTTTCCGGGATTAAAAGTACCTACCCTATTATTTAATCCGGACTTCAAACTTTACGTCTGCAAAAATTCAAAGCAATCGGTTTTGTAGTTACGGCGTGAAAGTGGAACAAACAAACAAGCAAACAAACTCACTTTCCGATTTATAATATTAGTAAGGATGAATAAAACAACTGACACCGAACTTATATCTCTTTTTGACATTTTAGAGGAAACCAGCAAGATTCAAAAATAGGAATTTGGGATTACGAATGGTAACAATCTCGACATCAATGTTGGCATGACCATGGTCGCGGGTAATCGATGTGGTGGATTGTTGTAAGGCTGAAGACACAGGCCTTAGCATATCAGTTTAAGTACTTATATTTGTTGATGCTGATCATGATGATGGTGATGAGACCGTGAGACGAAACCTAATACAGATTCTACTTACAACCAATGCGAACACAAGTTCCTGGTCTTCAATGACTTCGTTTGTGACCGAGTTCCCGCAGGAGACGCTGGACAGCGCCACCAAGTACGACAGGACCAGGTACCGGAGCATTTTCTAAAACAAACACGCGATCATAGTTTAGTTTTTAGAGGACTTTTAGGAATTGTTTGAGGTAGACAACGACCGATGATACTTTGGTGATGTCTACAAATTTTTTGAAGAAAATAGATAATCGTAAGTGTGAAAGTGACGAATCACTTTTGTAACAAAGTCGTGTATCTATAATATAACTTCCTCGAACCTATTTTTACGATAAAACTTATGGTTTTCGAGTGAAAAATTGAAAAAAAACATGATTTTATACTTTAGAGTTTGAATAGTTTTTTTAGCAAAAGAGGGATCGATGGATATTTTTGAAATTTTGTTTATAATGATGTAGTTACGAAGTGTGGGAGAACTATGCTTCGGCACGAATCGGCCGGCTCGACCAGAGCGATCACGGCCTCACAGAAAACTGACGTGCAGCAACGCTTGAGTTGTGTTTCGTCGTGTGAGTGGGGTTACCGGAGGCCCAATTACAATCCATCCCCAGTTTCCTCAATCCCCGGATCCCCCACAATCCTATAAATTCCCAATTCCCAAAAGACCGGTGACGCACTTGTAACGCCTCTGATGTTTCAGGTGTCCATGGGCGATGCCGATTGCTTACCATCAAATGATCCGTCAGCTCGTTTACCGGTTTATCTCATAAAAAAATTAACGTCTCTTGTCAATTTTCAGTTCTATGCGAATTATGTCCAGGCCAAGTGTGTATTTTAATTTTGGTTGGGCTAAGTAATACACCGTACTACTTCATAACTATAATCTTTTGCGGAAGCAAGCGAAACATTTAGTCGAAACACGCATTGGAGCCAGCTTATCAACTTTAATTATCAAATCGAAGTAAATATTTCTTTTTATTTTAACCTTATTTTAAAGTTTGCGTTTAAGATAACTTTATCTATCAGTTTCGGTTGACCACGTGGCTTTCAGATGGGTACACGTGCCCATTAACCGACAATCTGTTGGAGTGTATTACATCATATTTTTTTAAATTGTTTACATAACAATATTAGCTGATTTTCTTCAGAATTATAGGCAGATATGTGCCTGTGATAAATCTCCTTTTTTTATGGCATAAGCCGGTAAACGAGCAGACGGATCACCTGATGGTAAGCAATCGGCGTCGCCCATGGACACTTGGAACACCAGAGGCGTTAAAAGTGCGTTACCGGCCTTTTGGGAATTAGGAGTTTGAGGATCGTTGGGGATTCAGGAATTGGAGAGATTTCCCTAAAATGGAGGGTAATTGGGCCTCCGGTAATCTCACCCACACGACGAAACACAACGCAAGCGTTGCTTCACGTCGGTTTTCTGTGAGGCCGTGGTATCACTCCGGTCGAGTTGTCCTTAGTTGATCCTTAGTTGTCTTTTGTTTTTAGCGTGTGAAATCAAGTTTTTTCTTTTTCTACAGCATTTTTATAAAATCAGGTGGTATGGCAGCTATCGAGCCTTGGTTTACTTGATAGCCGATTGTTTAGATTATTAGACTATTGTGAGAAGGGGGCGATTGTGCCTCCGATAGGTACGATTATTCATGGACCATAGATAATTTCATACCAATTTTCTCCCTATAATGCCGTGGTATAGCTCCGGTCTAGCCAGCCTATTCGTATCGAAGGATGTTTCTCTAATGTGAAGTATTATTTATTGAAATATTGTGCCATATTTAATTCAATATTGGAGCGCCCTCTAGCTTGGCGGTGAGACAATATTTGTGTATTTATTAGCTCGCAGTAGTTAAGATTGAACCATAATGATACATGATGATGGGCAGGCGAATCTTATGCTAGATATCGGCATCGATATGAAATATATACCTACTTCCTTAATAAGAAACATAACATCACGCCTTTTATCCTCGAAGGGGTAGGCAGAGGTGCACATTATACCACTGTACAATGTAACACCCTCTTTTCACTATTTATGTCATGAGTCCCATGTAATAGGGGGTGAGCCTATTGCGATATACCGGGCACAGTTTCAGACTCCGTGCTACTACTGAGATTTTTTTAAAAACCCCAGTAATACTTTGTCCGACCCGAGACCCGGCAGTCGCAATTGCGACCACTCTGCCAACGAGCTTTCGCGGGTCGCGAAATACTGCTCATGAATATGAGCCTCTAGCATGGCTTGAAACTAGTCGAGTTCCTCGTCAAATTATAACGTGAGTAAGCCGAAAACATAATAATTTATTTAGTATGTCTCACGAAAGTTAGGTACAATACAAACATGTGTGTTATATTTTACGTTGTAAGATCTAGTTTCCTAGTAATATAAGAGCAGTTATTATTACCTAAACATGATATTACAATAATTATTTACTAATAGGACATTATTATTTATAGCGAGACCTTTTTAGAGTTTATCAAAGTCTGAATGTCATAATTATCTATGACATTTGTGAAGGGAAGTGATATAGCCGTTATAGGTCGGAACTTATAGACTAGGACGCAGACTAGGAAAGAAAGAAAAAAATAAAGGAAGAAAGAAAGGAACAAAGAAAGAAAGATAGGTAGAAAAAGCATTTTTCGACAGTAGGCATGCTCAAAGATACAAAAGAAATTTTAAATTAAAAAAAAAGAGCAGAAGAAATAAATACAGACGTTTATTCGATGTCTATTTAGCCTTTTTGTTTCATAGAAGAAGTTTTTTAGCATAGGCCGGCAAACGAGCCGACAGATCACCTGATGGTAAGCAATTGACGCCGCCTGTAGATTGGTATCTGGGTATTGGTACAACATAGGTGCGTTGATGGCCGTTTAGATGAATTTGTCAATGGGAATTATGTTTCGAGTTCTATGAAATTGGGGGAAAGCTGGTTCAGGCTTAGAATTCAGACCTTAGAGTCGGGTGTTTCGCTTGGGACCGTAATGTAAACCTAGGTTTTATGTTCAGGGTTGCAATAGTATTATTTGATTACTAGATTTTTTCAGTGAGCGCTCGGTGTCTGGTATAGCCAAACACAGATGTTTGGTTCTTTTCACAAAACTTCTAATTAATTGTACAAAACATATACCTAATTATAATAAGTACAATCGCGTGCACGTCTGCTTACTCATTATAGAATTAACAAAGTGATGTTTTATTTGTTTCGTGTTAGCGCGATTGTCATACAAATCTGAATAGTAAAAACAAAAATATTTACAAAAAATTTGTTTCTTTAAAAAGTCATCGCCTTCAAGATAACATGTTATGTTTCTTTACGTATGTGGATTTTTCTTTTATGTTTTATCCCTACATACAACACTAAAAATAGCAATTATCTACTATGTCTATTGTTATGTATACATACCCTTACAAATAGAAAAAAAAAATGGAACAGGGGCAGGTTATATTCGGAACGTGAACGGGAACATGGGCAAAACCGCTGACAGAAGCTAGTGTATATATATATATTATATATGTCACAGTTTTCGTATCTGTCTCATACTTAACTCAAAGGCTTTGTACACAGATCAACTCAAGTAGAGGCAACCATCAAATAACGATTGATTTAGTCTTTGGTATAAATCAATCGTTATTTTCGTACTTGCATACTAAATAGGTGTGCATCCGACCGTATTCATCAAGGAAAAACCTCATTTTACCTCAACTATAACCACACACGCACACAAGCAAACATTGACGTTTCAAGATCAATCACGTGACCCACTCATGCGCAGTCTAGGAAGCATCTCATTAAATTGAACTTTAGATTGTTTTGAACGCGCACTTATCATTCATACAAAAATAATTCTATTGATAACTTAGCACGTGCCGTCAAAATGTATGATAATGTATGATAGTGTATGACCCTTTCTTGAAGATAGGTTCAGCAAAAATTGGTCAAGACCAATGCTAATCTAACATATCTGGTGATTATAGAAAGATGCATTGCTGTTTTTGGCAGGATAGACAAGTGAAACAAGTGATTATTTCCGCAAATAGGCTACAAGGCAGCACTTTTACACGTCAATTTTATCAAGCGGACGATGAGGTCGACATTTCCTAACTGACTACTCTGAGAAGAAATGCCGATACAAACTCCGAGACAACAGACTACAAAGAGGTCCGTCTCTTTTAAGTCCAGACACTATGACATAAAAGATTATGTGTGAGAACCGTGCAAGTTCATTCTGTAGTGGCCTTTTGAGGAAAGAACCACAACAGTTTGAGCGGACCCGTTCTGAAGGCAGTACGCATGTGTCGGTTTGCAATCAGCTCAATTAACAGGCAAGACTGACTGATCCGACGAACAATACCAACCTAAAGAACATTTGAGTGGGTCGCACAAATACTCGAAACTGTAGTTATAACCAGTCCATCTGGAATTCTTTGGGGGAAGTCTATGTTTATCAGTGGATGTTTGGTGGCTGACATAATGATGATAAATTATTTAGGTATATATTTTATTTTGAAGTATAAACTTTTTTCTGGGAAAAATTTGCTTGTTTATAATAATCTTTATTTTTTGGGAATTAAACTCTCGCTAAGGTAACTTTGGGGTCATTTTTCAATGGACGTTTTTTACTTTCGTGTTTGTATTGATATACTTTAGACCTAAGAATATATACGTAAGAATTATACATACATGATAAAACATTGGTTATCTTTATTTACTTTCTATATATCTTGTTTCATATTCTAAGGCTAAGAGAGATAATAAAGTTGTTGTGGGGAACTGGGAAATCACCTACTTATGCATAATATTAGTTCCGGTTGCAAATAGAAAAATGTACAGTCATGGACAATTATTGGTGACCTGCTCTGTAGTAAAACACATACGACCTGATAAAGGTCACAAGTTGTTAGGTGCAGGTTAAGATAAGCTTTTATTGAGAATTTTTGAAGGGACTGCCTCATTGGCCGAGTGGTCGCAAGTGTGATTGCCGGGCAAGGGGTCTCGGGTTCGATTCCCGGGTCGGGCAAAGTATTACTGGGTTTTTCAAAAAAATCAGAGTAGTAGCACGGAGTTTGGAATTGTGCCCGGTATATGGCAATAGGCTCATCCCCTATTACATGGGACTCAT